TTACTGCGGAGATAACCAGGCAGCTCTGCAGCAAGCGTCTCGTGTAGACCGGCGCTGCCAGGGCTGGGCACAGCCTGGGGAAGGGATCTAGGTGCTGCCTGGGACAAGCCCTGCGGGTCGGGGCAGAGCAGGGAGCACGTGCGCCCCGCGTGCCGGCCGTTAATGGCCCGGCCCCGTTGCGCAGAGGCCCAGGGCTGTTTCCCAACCTTCCCGGTGCCCCGGGTGTGGGGGGAGGGGGGTGCTGAGCTGGGGCGTTGTGCAAGGTCCCCCCACTCCCGGGCTGGGTGACGGTATTTAGCCCGGCCGGCCCGGCGCTGGGCACGACGGCACCGTGAAGTGGGGCAGCCTGTTCCTGCTGGCGGGGCTCCTCGCCCTCTGCGCCGCGCTGCAGCCGGCGTCTGGGCAGTTCACTCCAGGCGAGTGCTCCCCTCCAGCCCCCAGCCTGGAGCCCCCACACCTGCCCCAGCCCCTGACTCCCCATCCTGGGGGGCAGTGCGAGCCCTGAGCAGGTGGGTGGGAGCTGCCTCGCTGGAGGGCATTGTCCAGTGACCCATGTCCATCTCCCCAGAGGAAGTCTCCAGCTGCCTAGGGCCCTGGCCGCTGCAAGATGGACATCCTGTGCTACAGCCAGCACCCAGAGGGGATGCAGCCAGGCTGGAGGGGAGGGCGAGGGGCTGCAATCCCGGGCAGGGCTCCTGCCCCCTCTCACTGCCCATCTCTTCTTTGGGTCAGCTGTCTGCAGGCTCCCCAAGGACCGCGGCCCCTGCAAGGATTCGTTCCAGCGCTTCTACTACAACCCGGCTGCCAGGACCTGCCGTACGTTCATTTACGGTGGCTGTCTTGGCAATGGAAACAACTTTAGGACTTTCCAGCAGTGCCTGAACAAGTGCAGGTTCGGCCTTGTGGGGCTGAGCCTGCCAAGGCCGGACGCTGCGAGAGGCATCGCGGCACCGGGGCAATGGCTGGAGGAACAGAGCAGGGTGAAGCCGGGTGAGTCGTGCAGCTGCTGGACATCACCAGGTGGCTCCAGGTGCTGAGGTCAAGCCAGGCAGAGGATGGAGGAGGGGACAGGGACTTTTGACCCCTTCCCTGATCCCTCTGCTGCCTTGTGACCCCTTCCCTGACCTGTCCCACCGCAGAGACCCAGGCCCGGCTGGGGGAGAGGGCGAGGGGCTGCAATCCCAGCAGGGCTTCTGCTCTCCCCTCTGTGCCCGTCTCTGCTCTGGGTCAGAGGTCCGCAGGCCCCCCCAGGACCCCGGTCGCTGCTTTGCCTGCAGCCGCCAGGACCACTACGATGCTGCACCGGCAGGTGTGAGCCCTTGGGCCCTGGGGGTGCCTGGGACCAGGAACGGTCTCCGCTGTGAGCGGGCGTGTGTCCGGGCCAGCGGGCAGCAAACTGGGGGCAGGATGGGGAGCGATGGCCGAGCTGCTTGGGCTGGGACAGGGACATGCAGGGCCCCTGGGCCCCGCGGGAGTCCTGTAGCTGCAGGAGACCCTGGCACTGCTCCCGGAGGGGGGTCCCAGGGTGGGGCAGGGAGACCCCCGTGGCTGGAGCGGAGGGCAAGGGGCAGCTCCTGCCCCACCCCACTGCCCGTCTTCTCCGGGCTGCAGGCATCTGCTTTCTCCCTGTGGCGCCCGGCCTCTGCCTGGCCAGCGTGCCCTGCTTCTACCGCAATGCCGCCACCGGCAAGTGCTTGAGGTTTAACTACGGGGGCTGCCAGGGCAGCGAGAACCGGTTCACCACTAAGAAGAAGTGTCTCCAGACCTGCGGGTAGCCAGGTGAGCACGGGGGGTGGCGAGCCACACTGGCTGGGACACGCCAGGGCCCCTCTAGCTCCAGCAGACCCTGTCGTGGGGCAGGGAAAGAGGCCCCGCGCTGCGCTCCCAACACAGTTGGGGCTTGTGGGCTGCACGGACCCCTCGCACCCAGGGCGCCGGGCCCGTGTGCAGCGGTGTCCAGGGATGAGGAGCGTCCTCGGGGGCAGAAGTGCCAGGGCATGGAGATGGGCCCGTGCCGTGGGGGTCTTTGTGGGTGCTGGGCTGGGCTGGGCTGAGCTCCCCAGTCCCTGACTTCCCTCCCTGTGATGATCGACTTTCCCTCCCCGCTCAGCACAGCTCTAGGAGTGACCCCGCGTGGGAGCTGGGCCATGGGACAGTGGGACCTACAGGGCCCAGACCCTCTGCAGACCCATCGTGTGGCTCCAGGCACTGATGGGCACCACGACCCCAGCACTGGGGGTCTGCTTCCCACACCCCCGATAGCAGCTCCTTCCTCCACGCAATAACGACCCTGCCCTGCAGCTTCCCCCTGGGTCTCTTGTCCCTGCATCTCTAGCACCGGCCCCAGCCCTGGGCAGAGAGAAGGGGGCATTGCTTGCTCTGCCTGGGGCATGGGGTCCCAGGTGGGGCCAGGGCCACATCCCTGCCCCTCGAGCAGGAACCGCCGGGGCCCGAGCGAGGCCGTTGGTGGTTTCTGATGGAGCAACTGTTCCCTTTGCCGCGGGGCACCGCAGCACAGTCCCCCGACGCCAGGCGCTGGGGGAAGTGGGCTGCACCCAGGGCCCGGGCACACGTGGCCTGTGCCCGTGAGAGCCCCCAGCAGCTGCCACGAGGAGGGGGAGGGCTGCCATCCCGACCTAAGCCAGGGCCTCTCAGGGTGATGGAGAGGGCAGGGGGACTGTGCAGGGATGGAGCTGGGCTGGGGTGTTGCGGGAGTCGCTGCGCCTATTGCTCAGGGCCGCGGGTATCCCTGCCTCTGGGGAGCACGGAGGACTGGCAATCCCAGGGGACACTGGCATCGGGGGACCAGGCGTGACTTGGGCCCCCACCTCTGTGTGCCCTGCATGGATCCAGCCCAGGGCAGTCCTGCCGTCTGCTCCCAGGACCAGGGGCAGCTGGGCACAGGAGCCCCGTGGGCATCAGGCCGGGCTGTGGGATGCCCTTCTCCCTGCTGGCAGGGCATGCTGCGCCATCAGCCCCAGCATCTCGGTGCACCTCGGGCTCTGTCCTGCCTGCTGGCAGGAGCCCAGCATCACTTCTCCCCGGGCCAGGAGCTCCCGGACCGTCCTGAGGCCGTTGGTGGTTCCCTGATGGGGCACCTGGCCCCTTTGCTGCGGGGCGCGGGGACCTGACACAAGAGGCGATGGTGAAAGCGCCCGGTGTTGCAGGCAGATCCTTGCTCCTGGCCCGCTGCACCCGGGCAGCCCGTCCTGGTGGATGGAAACGGGGCCAGGCCGTGGGGGTCTCTGCACCACCCCTGGGCTGGGGCCCTTTGGGGTGGGTGCCGTAGGGTGCTGGGCTGGGCTGAGCTCTGATCAACTTTCCCTCCCTACTCAGGGCAGCCCTGTGGGGGAGCTGGGCCATGGGACAGTGGGGCTGTGTGTCCCTGACCCTCCATGGACCCATCCTGTGGCTCCAGGCACTGCTGAGGCACGTGGCCCCCAGCACCGAGGGTCTGCTTCCTGCACCACCCCTGCCACAATAGCAGCTCCTTCCTCCAATAATAAAGACCCTCCTTTGCAGTTTCCCCTGGGTATCTTGTCTCTGCGTTGGCCCCAGCCCTGGGTGGAGAGAAGTGGGCATCACTTGCCCTGCCCGGAGCACAGGGTCCCAGGGGTGGCGGGTGGAAGAGGCCTTCAGACCCTGGCACTGGGCACATGCTGGCACCCACAGCTTCCCGGTGCTATGGGGGGGGCTGGAGCCACATCCCCACTCCCAAAGCAGGAACCGTGGGGCCCGAGCGGAGGCTATTGGTGGTTCCTGATGGTGCAACTGATCCCTGTGTCATGGGGCAATGCAGCGTGGTTCCTGCACCAAAGGCGCCAGGGGAAACCGCTGCACCCAGGGCCCGGAGATGTGGTCTGCGCCCGTGACCGCCCCCAGCACTGACACACCGGAGAAGAGGAGGGCTGGCGTCCTGGCCCGGGCTAGGGTGGGGCCTTGCAGGGAGCCCCTCGGGGGGATGGACAGGGCAGGGTGGATGGAGCTGGGCTGGGGGGGCAGGGACGGGCTGGGGTGTCTTGGGTGCCCTTGCGCCTGTTTCTCAAGGATGCGGGTGCTCAGGGCTGTGGCCGTCGGGCTTCCCGCCAGCTCCCATCTCTGGTCTCCAACGCCTGCCTCAGCCCTGGGCGGCGAGAGAGGGGCAGCACCTGCCCTGCTCGGGGGACCAGGGGCTGCCCCACGGGGCCATGGCCTGGCGGGATTGCACGGGGAGGGTCCTGGGCAGCGGCCACTTCTCTCTGCCAGCAGGTGAGGCTGTTGCACCACCAATCCCAGCACCCGCCTCACCTGGGGCTTGGGGCGGCAGGCGGGCAGCAAGGGGGACCGGCAACTCCAGGGCATGCGCCGGCCCTGACTCACCCACCCGAGGGGCCTGGGCTGGGGTCAGATCTGGATGCCGAGGGGCATGGAGATGCTGGGGGGGGCAGTGCCCCAGGTGCTCTCTCTTTTGTCCCTCCATAACATGCTCCCACTCTCATGGCCAGGCGATTCCCACAGCCCCTGGGGCTGCTTGCAGGCCTCTGGGTCAACGGGGCAGTGCACGGGAGCAGGACCGTCCCCTGCTAAAACTGCTGGCTGGCCCCGCGCACCAATGCCCTGTGTCCCAGCAGGAGAGAGATGGGCTTGGAGCCGCACACCTGGGACAAGGAGCTGCAGGGCCCAGCCAGCTCCACCTGGGCCGGGGCAGGGCTGAACAGGGGGCGCAGAGGGGCCAGGGTCAGCTCGGGCTGGGGACTGCGCGCCAGAGGCTGCTGCCCCCGGCTCCATGCACCACCGCCCTGCACTCCCGGCCTGCAGGTGCGGGTCTCCCACCGCCCCGAGCAAGCCTCTGCCAGCCCCACGCGGGCACTATGCCCTGGGGCAGCCCCCAGCTCTGTCTGGGCAGGACTTGGCTGGGAGAGGGCTGGCTCTGGGGCAGATCCCTGGATTGAGATGCAGCCCTGCAGAAGCACCGAGTTATTATTCATCTCCATTTCTACCCCCTCCTCTGTGCGGGAGATGAAAGTCCCGGGGCGAGTGGGATGGGGGCGGGGGGCCGCAGCATCCCCGGTGCAGCGCCACGGCCGCTAATACAGCGAGCGGGGAGTGTGCGGGGCTGCTTTGATCTGCGCCGCCTGAACCACGGAGCGAGTCCCGGCAAATGGAAATGAGGAGATGGAGCAGCACCAGCCACTTCATCATGGCACTGCCACGGCGTGCGACCACGGGAGGTGTGGGGCTGGTGTGGGGCCTGGAGCCGTCCCTGCCGGGGGGGCAGCATGTGCCCCTGGGATGGAGCGCTGGGGGGCGGCCTGCCCCCCGTCTCTCCCAGGGGAGCCCTGCTCCATTAGCTGCAGCTCCTCGGGGGTGAATGGCGCAGCTGCCTGACGCCTGGCTGTGGCTGCCGCTCAATAACCCTAATGGCTCCTATCAATAACGACCGGAGGACGCCGGGGCGAGGCGGCCGGAGCGTGTCCTCGCACACGTCGCGGCCGTTCCTCCTCGCTCCCCGGGGGGAGTTGGGGGCTACGCAGCCCCCCCAGCTCCCTGCCTCGGCACCGCGCTCCCTGCACCGCCCGGGGCCCAGGGGCTGCTGCGCGCGGCGGCGCAGGGAGGCAGCCTCCCAAAATGGGGTTTTTATTACAGCCATACATCACGGCGGTGGCCTGATGCGGGCAGACGGCGGTGATTTTTCTTCATGGTTTACAGACAAATGAGGGGAAGGAAAATGGATGTGAACTCGGCAGCCGCGCGAGGTCGGGGGAGCGGGGTCGGCCCGGGCTGGCGCCAGAGCAGCACGGAGCCGCCCGCCACCGTCCCTCCAGCACCCCGGCTCCTGCCCAGCGCCCCCCTCCGCAGGCAGGGGCCTGGGCACGGGGGAGCATCGGCTCCAAACCCACCGGGGTCCCAATCCCCTGCAGACCCCTCACGCCTCTGACCGGGAGCCCAGTGCTCCGGGCATCTCCCGCCATCGCTCTGTGCCTCAGTTTCCCTGCCTGCAACATCTGTTTCCAGGCCCTGTGCTCTCCTCACAGCACCCGGGGTCACAGCCCTTGGGAGCTGGGCCGGGCTCAGGGTGTGGGGGGAAACGGAGCTGCTCCCCGACCCAGGCTGGAGCTGCTGAGGGGGAGAGGGGCATCTGGGGCAGGCCCTGGATGCCCCTGGCTCACACCTGCCCGAGCCCCGGCTCCTCCCGCCGGAGGGCCCGGCTGAGCCAGCCCCAGCAGAGAGGGGCCCGGAGCAGCAGGGGACCAGGTAGGAGGGGCGCCGTGGGGCTGGGGAGCTCTGGGGGCAGCACCCCCCGCGCCCCTGCTCCAGACCTGTGCGCAGCCTCCCTCTCCCTCTGGGTCTCAGCTTCCTGCCCCCGGGGCTTTGTGCTAACCTGCAGCTTTGGGAAACACCTCCTTCCCCCTCCGCTTACCTGGAGCCCGGCGGTCTCTGGGCTTGCCCCAGCCCAGCACGGCCGCAACGCTGTGCCCCCGAGTGCCCGGCTCTGGCCCCTTGCCAAGCACCGTGCTGGCACTGCCCGGCCCGCGCCTGCGCCTGCGCCCCCGTTTGACATGGAGCCCAAAGGAGGGTGGGGGCACACATGGGCGGCAGGGGAAGGGTTATTAATTCTTCAGGGTGCTCGTTAGCGCTGCTGCAAGGCACTGCGTGGCCCGACGGCCTGTTTTTGGCTCTAGCCAGTGGCACCCCTGCCCAGCACGGGAGACAGGGAACTGCGCCCGTACCGCAGGCCTCGGCATAAGACCCATGAATATTAATGCTGTTCTAATGAGTGCCTTTAAATGCTTTGTCTAAATTAAGCATCGCCTCTGTAACGAGCCAGCAGGGCGGGGGGCGGCGTCCGTGACAAACAACAGCTCCTGTGTGGCTCCCCGACACCCCAGCGGGGCCCTGGCCCGACCCACGCCGTGTACATGGCCCGTGGCGTGTTCACACACGTGTGCCCGTGTTTGCCCCCGGGAAAGGGTGGGTCTGCAGACACCCCGGCTCTCGCTCCTTGCCCTGCTGGATGCCCACGAGGCAGCCCAGGCCGGGGGTCTCTTCCTGGCAGGGTGACGGGGGGCTGGGGCAGGAGCGGGATGGGACTGGGACTGGGGCAGGCTTCACTCCTACCCCAGCGCCTGTCTGTGGGTCTCCCCCGCCACGCAGAGATGCT